AGTTGGTTACGTACGTAACTTAACGTTACGGTTCGTTAACGTTTAACGTTTTACGTTTCGTCTACTTACTTCCTCGTACACGTCGTACTCGTCACTCTCTCTCTCTCTCTCTCTCTCTCTCTCTCTCTCTCTCTGATTTACTTTGAAATGAAATTTGCAGGAATAGCAGGCCCCCCCTAAACATGAAAACGCTATGCCATATCTTCGTGCTTGCTCTGTTTGGGTATGGGTTTCTATAATCTTCAATATTCCCCAACTCATATGACCCATCTCTTACTTTGGTTCATATCTTCAAATTTTTCAGGGTTCCCCTCTCCCAAACCCTTTACTTTACAGGGCTTTACTATACCTCTTCTACCTTCGCAGCCACAATAATGAATCTCATCCCAGCAATCGCTTTTGTGGCTGCCTTCCTACTAAGGTTAGCCAGCCCCCTCTTTTTAATTATACTCTCCTTTTTTATGCCTTTTTTTAATCATTAAAAGAGAGAGAACTTTTATCACACGAAAAGTTTATATAATGTGTCAACCCTATAATATAGAAATGACGCGCTCCTCAAAACTCATTGAAAATGACTGTTCTAATGTTGGAAAACCCTCCAATTGATCATTTCGACCTCAAGATGTATGAATATGAAAGAAATGAATTTTGAGTCTTGAAAATAGTGCATTTTACAATATATTATTTGGACCGTTTATTTCTAAGGTTTTTAAGTGCTAGTTCTGCTCGTTTATTTCTGCATTATTCGAGGTGCGCCTTACTTTGATTGTTTTATGGTGACTACCTTATACAAACCTCACCTTTTACCAAATCAAATATTTATGATCAACTATTTGACATTTAAATCATCCAAAATATATGACCCGTGCTGATTTGTTGGATGATGGGTTATTTGAAATTTGAAAAAAAAGAATCATGGCTATTTGGAAGTAGATCATAGAAATGAGTGAGATGATAAATAACCCAACTACCAAAGAAAAATCCTGCCTCTTGTTCTTTGATTTAATATCCAGCCGTATCATATTTTTTTTTCAGGATGGAGAAGATCAATGTAAGGAGTTCAAGGGGACTGGCAAAGGTTTGTGGCACCTTCACTTGTGTGGGAGGTGCCATGATCATGACACTAATCAAGGGTCCTTCCATTGAGTTTTTCAAATACTTTAAATCACCAAAGTCCATTCTCCTTTTCTTGGATAGTGGATCGCATCTTCCTAGCGTGAATTGGACTCTTGGCCCAATCTTACTTGTATCAAGTGTATCAGCATATTCCACATGGATAATTTACCAGGTTATAACTACTTTTCCATGACTAAGAAATGAGGTTCGGCCATGGAACTCGGACCATAGACAGTCGTAGGGACTCAGACGAGTCCAAATTGACTCACCGGAGTCGTCCAACAATGATTTTTATCGTTTATTTGTTTTCTTATGAAATGCAGCTTTTGGTATTCAACCCTTCTCACCTTTCACTTTTTGCTTCTTCTTTGATCTTTTAGGCATGGGTTTTTAAGGATTATCCCGCCCCTTTATCCTTGACAGCCATGACGCTAGTTATGGGTACATTTCAATCTGGTGTAGTCTCCTTTCTCTTTGAGAGATCTAAGGAGGCATGGGAACTACATTGGGACTTTCAGCTTTTTACCTATGTTTACAGTGTAAGAACCAATAACCCTTCTCTTCCCTAGAATAATATTACTTATAAAATATTTAAAAGATAAATTCCGAGTTTTCAAACATCCAAATAACATAGTCCTTGTGCAGGGTATTATGTGCTCTGCTCTAGCATTCTTAATTCAAAGCTGGTGTATTAAAAATAGAGGCCCGGTCTTTGCAGCCGCATTCAACCCCTTATGCACAGTATTGGTGGCTATTATAGAGCCTACAATCCTTCACGTTGATATTTATGCCGGAAGGTAAAGAAAACATCTTATTTGTACATTTTATTTCAAAGAGAATTAATTTTTCTATTAATAATTACCCAAACAAAAAACGAAATAGCTCTTCGGATCTAAAAGCCAAGTCCTGTATGTTTCAGAGTGGTAGGGATGGCTTTGGTTATATCTGGACTTTATTCTCTACTATGGGGTAAAGCCAATGATGGAGTGGGGAAGAAAGTACAGACAGAAGATCAGGTTGAAAGTAATAAAATGCAATTCCAAGAAGAAAGCTATCAAGATTTGGAAGAGCCTCTCTTAGAAGTAGTTCAAGTGTAATGAAGGGCATAGCAGCTAAGATACCCTAATTTAAGCATTGTCTGTAACTTAACTATATCGGGAGAATATACCATAAAACTATTTATCTTAGATATAAGAAGTTCACAATCATTTTTAACTGTTAGATATGAAATCTAATTACTGAGATGTACCATTGACCGCGCTCTACAAGAAAAGTTCACCATCTGAATTCCTATATGACTACCATAAGTAATTGTGATATTCTTATACCAAAGATAAAGAAATTTTTATAGTATAAAATCCTCATTATAAACCTTGTGTGTAACTTGTGTTACAAAAATTAGTCAAACCATGTGACTCCTATAATCCCTAATGATATTTGGCCTTACATAATAAGAAAACTAGAGGGAACATGTGGCACATCATGTGCATTTAGTCTTGGAGTGGAATAATCTTTATTTACTTGAGTGGTCAAACTATTAAATAAATGATAATGATTTTATAATTTTAAAGACAAAGTGCGATCCACTAAATCATGATTCATGATCCTAAATTTCAAGTTCTTGCGAGTATCTTATTTTATTTTATTTTAGTTTATTTTTTTTCGGGATTTCAGTAGTATTTTATTTTAATTATTTATTTTCGGGATTTCAGTGGGGATAACAGGTCCCAAGTTGTCTATTAACATCTAAAAGAAACCACAATGTGTAACTGAGGTATGAGGTATGCTACCACTACGACGTCTGCCCTTTTCCCTACTTTTAACTTTGATGTCTATTAACATCTACTATAATTTATTTGCGTGCCTTTTTTTTACTTAAGAAGCAGTTCATCTCGATTGTCCATTGATGGCAACAGATGGTCGAGTAACTTGCAAAATACTGTTTGTGAGCCAAAGCATCATAGTCTGTGAACTTTATCCCACCACTAATCTTACAATGAAAACAAATTCTTATAAAAAATCTGCACAAAATTGTATAAAATAACTTGCATGAAATTATAGAGTAGTAACTAACCTTAAATTTTAGGATCTTCATAAATTTTACCATCATTTGGACATACACTTTTAGACATATTAGATACACACTTTTTAAGTATAAAAAAAAAAAATCAGGACTTTTTTTTTAAAGTTTTTCATTGCAATCCATTTACTTATTATGTAAAGTTTTTAGTTAGCTTTTTCTCTATGGTTTAAAATCATTTTTCTATCTATTTGCAGTTTAGTCAACTCAATCTTCTAGAGGTCCAAATTATGTACATACTTCGACTTTGATGGAAATTTTACTTTCTAAATGACTTCAGCTTAATTTCAAAATTATGTAATTTTTAATCGAGAAATTGATCAAAATACACCCAAAAGTGAGTTATTTAACATTTTACTCGTTGTAATAATAAAAAAATTTATTACCCATTTTGATAAGTTATTTTATGGGTTATTCGAAAATTGATCAAACGAGTGATATACTATTTAAAATTAGATAAAACAAAAAGATGAAAAACGCTGAATTTGAAAACTTTTTTATTTAATTTATGAACCGTAGAAACGAACCCTGATTTGGAATAAATTCCATGATGGTAACATTGATATTCTTTATAATTCTAGAGAGTTATTTAATGTAATTATTTTGGTCATACAACGCTCTCTCTCTTTCGCTTTCATCATGTCTGGTGGTTTCTAACTCCTGTATAATATAATCCATATAACTATGTGATAATGGAGTTATTAAATGGGTGTGGATGTAAAATTCAATTAGTTAAATATATGGCGGAATCCACTCCCCTTCATTACCGTCCAACCCATTGATTGCACCATTGATTGCATGGCGAAGAATTTCATGAAATAGTTGTGAATTGTGATGATTGCAGGGCGAAAAATGTAATGATATGGTTGTGAATTGCGATGATGATAATAAGGACAAAGATATTTAGTTAAAAAAAAAAGAAAATTTATATAAGTATATATA